TGGTCAAAGGATGGGCTTCACTTGTCTCTTTGATGAGTTGTAATATGGTGCTACGAATGGCGAGACTCACGGACGATGCCGGCCAAACGTCTGGGAATGTACCACGTTCACGGTTCGACTTTGGAAATGATCATGCATACAATAGACTCCGGACTAGGTGCATTTTTATGAGTCTTCCTACCCATATGACCAAGTTGTGAAAACAAGGTCAAACAACTTTTAAATACATAAAATTAAACAGTAAAGTAATGTGTAATTCATAATTTTTTATAGAATTCTATATGAAATAAATAATTTAATTTCTTTTTAAGCAGCCAGTAAGATAAGTAAAGAATGAAACTAATGGACTATCGGGTATAGATCACCTTAATACTTTGATCTAATGCTAGAAAATTTATGTTAGTTGAGCTATATTTCTTATTATTATTTTATAACCGTTTACCGGCTATACTTTGCTGTGACTTTCCGACCAATTGTCTATGTATTGGCTGAAGAAGCTCTTCTGAGTTTATGTAAAGATGGTACGCTATTATTTCACCATTCCGTTGGTTAAGAGGAGGCGGAACCCAAGTAATAGTGGCAACCTCAGCACCGACCTTTTCTTCTGAGACAGCAACCTTCAAAACAAACAAAAAATAAATAAAAGTTAATCTCTTAGAATGGGGTCTACAAGGTTTTCAGCTCTAAAATTGTGAAATAAAGATTCCTTACTTGATATGATATTATCGCTGTAACAAGAATCTTTAGTTATAATTAAAATTAGAGAAAATTGACACAAATATTTTAATGCATTAAATCTGTAGACCAGCTTATAAAAAATAAAATTACATTTAAATGAACCTGCTATTATACTACAGTTACCTTCGCTGAGAAATCAAAATGCGAAAACCTGAGTTTAAACTGGGATTTTATATAAAAAGTAAATGATCCCTGAAAATTGATGGCAAGCTAAAATATAAAATACATATTCCATGGCTCGGTGATCTACAAAATGAAACAGCGAAAAACTAAGTATTCAATTGTGACTTAGTCTACAACGGCCTAAACAAAAAGACAAATAAAGATACTTAAGCTGTCCTATACTAAAGTTAATCAAGTTTTAATCAGATATATAATTCTAGCATGTGAATCATAAAACAAAAGTTTTATGCCTGGTTTGTATAACATTTTATATACGTTTTTAAGCAAATGTCTTTTTTAATTGATATACATATATATAACTGTATATATATATATATATATATATGTAAGCGACGTTTAAACAAAATTCCAGGAAGATATAGGTCTATAAAATAAAGGACCTGATTTTAAATTTGGTCTTCGTTTTTTTAAGTCAAAGTCTGTTTAATTCAAAAAGGCCTTATTTGTGAGATTTCAGAATTTATATTTACTTTCTCTATTTGATTCAATGTTATTTAGATAAGGTAGGCTATTGACATCTCTTATTGATAGCTGTTTATTTCCTAGTAAAAAAATGTAAATTAATCTACTTTTAAGCAATTGTTGTGCACATTTATATACCTGTCCTGGTGGAGCTGTTGGTTTTCTAGATGGCACTCGAGGTGAGGACTGCACAAATGTCTGCTCTCCTGCTAAGCCAGATCGGGTCATTGGATAAGCAGTAATTCTATAGAAATTATCTGGCGTTAGATCGCTAACCAGAACACTGGATGCTGTCGAACCTGGCACAGATATTTTCCGCTTCTCTCTTCTAGGAGCCTTAAAGGTTTGTGAAGTATCCGATTCCGGAAGTTCTTGACCAACATTACTAACAGAAGAAGCCACTTCATAATCTTCCGAAAGTTGAAGAAGAATTATCCTTAACATATGTAAAATAACAAAATAAAGAATAAGGAAGTTCAATAGGCCAATATTGAATTATGAAAAATAAGGAAAAATGTAATCTAAGGCATTTTGTACAAAAATAGTGAATGAAAGCCTATCGATTAAATAACAATTAAAATGTTCGGAAATAAAATTTGTTTTGTCAGAATTTTACAATTTGTATAAAAATGCAAGTATAACCTCAGGTCCTGCTGGTTCGTGTTTCAAAATAAAAAAGATTTCTTTGAAGGCATGAGGACAAAGATGGCGTAACATTTAGTATGGTCGCAAACTTCTTTCGTTGTATAGAATTCGCTTGGCCTTGTTTCCGCAACTTTTTCAAAGTGTCAAGGAGACCAAGAGGAACGATCTTTTTCTAAAGCCATAGGATCCATGATAATTTTCAGCATCGGACTGAATAAAGAAGATCATTTATAGTTCTAAAAATGGTAAAGCTCACTGACGATGTAGACTAATATGCCAACGAAACGTCTGAGGAGGTACGAGTATATGGCTAGAATCTATAAATTATCAAGGATATTATTGAATGTGGCAAGGTTGTGTTCCTCTGGGTCACCCTGACAATACATCTAAGGGGGTAAAATGAGATCAAACGACTTTTAGAGAGATTTAACTTCGTATTTTGAAATCCTTCGGTAAATTGTTTGAATAATTTATAAAGCTTAAACTATATTTGGGGTAAAAATGATCAAAATTTTATTAGAACTTTTAAAATAAATTGATGAAAATAATTGAAGCAAGAATACTTCTACATTTATATATGATATTTTTTATAACTTATTATTGATTTGTGAAAATCAAGTGTAGATTTTATTCTTACTTTTTGGAAGGTTAAGAATCGTAAACCAGGTTATTATAGAGGAATGTATGAATACAATTATAGTGTGGATTTTTGTATGGTCGCTGTCTCCATTCGTTGTATAGAAGTTGTTCAATCATGGTTTCTCAGCTTGGCTATATTAGCGGAAAGACCTAGAGCAACTCACCTTGTCCGGAGTCCATAATATGCATAATCATTTCCAGAGTCGGATTGTAGACTTGGTATATTATAAGACGTTTCGCCCCTAACGATGATAGTTAAGAATAAGTTTGGGGTAACACACAAATTATCCAAGTTCATACGTCTGAAACTTAACAAGGTAAACGGCAGATTGTCAAACAGAGTCAGGCATTCATATGAATTTTTTCAGAGGATCAAAAATATAACACTGGAAGAAACAGAATTACTGGTAAGTTTTGATGTACAATCTATGAACACAAACATTTCTGGAGAAAAGGCGCTGACGGCCCTGTAATAAATTTTGGATTGAGAAAAGGATATCCTAGATGCAAAGGGAATCGTTAACACGATTAATCAACTTGACAATTAGTGCTTTCTACTTCACATTCAATGGCAGCATCTATGAGCAGACATTTAGCCTTCCTATTGGATCACCTCTCTCCCCTTTATTGGCAAATGTATATATGGACAAATTAGAAGAGAATTTCGAAGTGGATGACTAATTTGAAATATAAAAGTGGTTAAGGAAAAAATCAAATTTACAATGGATGTAGAGAAAGAGGAACGTTTGGCTTTCCTAGATTAGGAGGTCATTCGCTCTACTGGGTCACATAAGAAAAGATTGTTCCGAAAGAAGTCAACTGCTAGAATAATACCCAATTTCGAATGTCATTACAACTATAGAATGAAGATAGGTATACTAAGGAGCATTGTCATCAGAAGCCTACGATAAACGAACAGGGAATTCTGGGATTAAGAATTGTAAAAAGGGATTCGGGTGTTCCTTGGTAATGATTATCCAAGAGAAGTAATTCAAAGAAACATAGTGGCCGTTAAGAGCCCATGGCAGAACGGAGATTATGCAAGAAAAATAAAGATCGACAAAAACTCACAAAAGTGGATATTTCCGCCTCCCTGTGAACAAGCTCAAAAACTACGGCCAATATTAAGGAAATGGAATATTCAGGTGACCACAATGGAAAAAAAATACACTTCACAAGTCTACCCACGCAGCATGAGAATGTAGATAAATTGGATTGCTTAGGAGTTTACTGCAT